TAGGGGTTTCCCCGTGAATTAGCAAACCTCCGAAAACACAAATAAAAGAAGAAAATACGTTGGAGTTTACAAACCATGTCCCAACTTTAATTGGCAATGGTTGAAAATTGATTGAGATCCAGTAAAAATGACTTACTTTGGACATTTTTAGATCCTTTGTTATACAGCCACAGTATGAAAATACACATCTTTAGTGGGATGTCATAGTTTATTTACACCCTTATATCAAATCAGTGTGATTCTGGGTGAAAGTGTGCATGTTTTCTCACAAATTTGTGTTTCCTACTATTCACCAGCAGTCAAAGCCCAGTGAGATACTTTAAACATGGAACACAAACCAAAAAGCCACTTCAACAGAGTCCCAATCTTTCACAGATTGTTGAAAACCCAGCAGTTGTTTTGGTTCTTTCATGAGAACCTTTTTAATGGATGATTGCTGGGAATACTGAAGACACTCAAACCAGTCAGTAATGTTTAGAGTTTTCTCACTACTCCAAGGGCTCAGGTAGTTCAAAACTACCACTTTCCCAGATCATTTTCTAGGGTAAATTTCTACCCAGGATATGCTTTTTGCCCTGGATTCCAGCAGTCAAAACAAAAGAGAAAAATACAGGAAAGGATCTTGAAAGTAGTTCCAGAAGTTCCAATACTTTTACCTTAAAGTGACATTGAGTAGTTTTTACTGTTACTCTCTGGACATATCCATGAAAATATTGTTGAAAATTAATTAATTGATTCTCAGCAGCTTTGTAACATATAACCATTAAAATCGGGTCTAAAATACATGGGGTTGTTACATGTGTGGCATTGTGCTGTTTGATCAAACTGCACTTTTCAGGGTGGCCTTTTATTGTGGGCAGTCAAAGACACACCTGTACATTATTAATGTTGTCTAATCAGCCCCTTGATATGCCACACCTGTGAGGTGGGATGGATTATCTTGGTAATATAGTATAGACAGAATTCAGAACAATATTTGAGAGTCGTGCATCTTTTGTGTATGTAGACAAATTTTCAGTTGTTTGAGTTCAGCTCATGAAAAATGGGAGCAAAAACAAAAGTGTTACGTTTGCATTTTTGTTCAACTGTTCATCCAGATGTGTTTTCCTGCAATAAAACATATTTGATTCCTTTATTAATTACTGAAATATTGTCATAGATGCAGGCGTAGTCACAACTCAGCATCCAGTGTGTCTGAAAATGTGTATGTGAGCCCTGTAAAAGAGTAAATAAGGTCAACTTCCTGCCTGAAGGCCCTCACTGAGCTGTGATGAATCATAGCATTGGTTATGCTGTTATAAACAGGATTTTGGAGAAATCAATTAGGCCCTGGGTGCTGCACGTTTGAAGTCTCCCACCAAGAGTTATCCATTTCGAGCCGTCTAAGTGGGTGAGGTAATGTGCTTTACCACACATAATGTATGATTAAGGGAGAAATAAGCTTAATTTTTCTCAATTGTTTTGGATTTTTGCTGCAAATTTTAGGAAAGAATTCCACTCAAGCTCTTTAAATAAAGTCATTTAGATTTTTTTTCTTATAAATAAATATAACCCAATTTTAAAAGGTTAGCAAATAGCTATATTGATATTTCAAAAATAATCTGCAATCTAGCAATTGAATTTTGCATGTTCCTAAATCAGTCTCATTGGGAATCAATGAGTGTGTTTAATTAACCTCTCCTGCCTTTGCTCGACTGCAAATAACTGCGCCTTCTTCTCCTGTTCTGCACTTTTCTGCACTATCTGTCAGCATCTTCTAGGCTGCAGGCTTATGTAACACTTTCTGTACCGTGTGCTGTACACACAGCTGGCTCCATGCAGCAAAACACTGCTAAGAAAGGTTCAGACAGTAATTATCCCTGCCTCCCTTTTTCTTTTTCTGTGTGTGTGTGTGTGTGTGTGTGTGTGTGTGTGTGTGTGTGTGTGTGTGTGTGTGTGTGTGTGTGTGTGTGTGTGTGTGTGTGTGTGTGTGTGTGTGTGTGTTCAGACAGATATGGAAGAATCACTTTGGTTTAACTAAAAGATGACTGTTGGTGACCTTTTAAGTCAACATTTCGTACCTCCGCACCAAATATAAGATGGAGTATTTGTATATAAATTAATTAGTTTATTCATCAGCACTGTTTCTCCTGCTGGAGCTTATTTGTTTTTCTCTTTGTACGATTTTATCAAAATGATGAATGTGTGTTATTTTCCCCCAGATTACGACTTTTTTTAAAATAGTGCTATTCACATAAAGGCCAAGAAATCAGCTACGGGCATTGCAAAAACAGCATTAGGTTGATTTATTGTCTAGAATGCAGAAGAAAAAGCGATGTTTGTGTAATGTTGAGTTGCTGGACCACATGACACCTTACATTTTATTAACAATAACTTTAATAATTATATCATCACATTTTAGGTAAAAGAAAAACTAGAGCCTGATTAAGGATTGTTTCTACCAGGACCATTTTAGATGTGACACACAGAAGCCTGATCACTCCTCCGTTTCATCATAGGCTAATGATGTAAATGCATTTACTTCATGATTATCTCTAATTTTATTCTGTTAGCATTAAACAAAGGACATTCTTCCGGCTCTTGGAGAGTACAGACACTTTTTTCTCTCCTCTCCCTCCCTCCACATCCCAAGGCTCATTGTCTGTCTTTGTGTGCACGGCACTTTTTGCTTTTTTTTCTGGAAACTGGAAATTATTAAAAATGGATCTGGTCAGTTGGTCTCTCAACACGACTGACAAAATGTTTTCATCAATGAGAACGGGAGAAGGGGCTCCCGGATGCACCTCTGGGACAGAGCCAGCTGGGTATATCATGGACTCCTGGAAACAGTGGAACCTGATCTGCCTCTCTCAACTGTCTGTAGAGGATTCTGAAAATGTCTGGATATTCGTGGTGTTGGTGTCGGGTTTCCTGCTGTTTGACCTGAGCGGTTATCTGACTTACCGGAAAATTAACGAGCTTTGGAGGAATATTGGCTCAATCCCGAAGCTCAGGGATGGATTACACCGTGCTGTAAACACACAAACTCGTATAATTGTCGAGATGATTCATAAGCTTGGAACTTTGGCTGAGATTCAGGCTCTGGCACAGAAGGTGGATTCCATCAAGGAGCGAATTGACGGATCAGCATGGATTGGGATAGATTAATTATGCCATTATTGGATCTAGAGGGGTTGAAGACCAACAGAACACTAAGGCAGAGAGGAAATAATCTCTGTCTGTCCCCAAACAATTCTTATCTGAATCTGGTGCCCTTGGAGCCTGTGAGGCTGCAGTGAAGATTCCCCCCTAAGAAGAAATGTGGAATGCTGCCATTGCTATGGAAACCCTTTCTCCCTATCCCAGCCTGGGCGGGACTGTGACCGGTGAAGGCCATGGAACCGTATCTAGGAGTCAATGTGCTCTCTAACCCATTATTTCCCTCGCCTGTCCAAATGGAGGTGATGAGCGCTGCTCCATGCGGCTGCACGCACTGAAGTGAGGAGAGTCCCAACTCTACCTCCCCACCTAGTGAACACTTATGTTGTGTAATGTTTGATGTCTGTTGCATTTCTGTCTGAGGTGGGTTTTTTTTTGCATAGCAAAGCTGCCCTCCCTGGTGAGGGTAACTCTGAAGTGCCTTTTTTCCCTCCCCCGACTCTATCCTCATGTAAACCCTCTTGATCTATTACGGTAGCGCGACTCGGGTTGCGAATGACCACAGTCACCAATTCTTGCCATGTGTCCATGCCTACGTATGTATGTCTGATCTCAGAATTGTGTGTACTGAAATCCTAATTTCCCTCTGGGAATAATAAAGTAATTTTGAATTGAACTGAATAGAATAATATGTCTCATTTATACTAACATCATAGGTTTGCCCACTTGCATCAATCACACAAGCTACCAGCTAAATTTTATCCACCGAACTCTAGTTTTTCTGCAAGATCAGTGCTGCAGTTCTGCTGATTTTTTTCTGTTAAAATCCTCCACTGTGTTCAATAAACACCAAACAACAGAAGGACCGACACAGCAAAATGTCACTGAGGTGAAGTCCTGTTCTCTTCTCTGGAAGGTCGTCCAGTGAGCTTGTTTGCTGGGTCTCGATAAAAATGCAGCAACAGAGTCTTCTTCAGCTGTCAGGGAGCAGCTTCCACACTGTGACTGGGAGGCGGAAACCTTGAAAGATGTTTTTTTTTTTTTTTTTTTTTTTTTTTTTTTTTTTTTTTGCTGTTCATGCCACTATTGTGTAAAAAATAAATCCTCACAGAATCCAACAAGCAAACAATGATACAGGAAAATAAAAAGTCTGGTAGCCAAGATTTTTTTTTACAGGCAGCCTGAGCTGAGGGACAGGTTCCGGGTGTAGTTTATGCAACACAAGCTGAGATTTTACAATTTTGACAATAGAAGAACACTAAGGAACAATTTGTGCATTTTTTTTATCACAGGCACGCAGTGAAAGTAGACATATACAAAATAGACTGCTACATTATTGTTTTCTTGAAGCTCTGTTTCTCAAGTCCAGTCTTCACGGGTACACCATGGTGTCCATTGATGTGAAAAAATAAAATCGTCCTAGTGTGACACATTTAGACAAGTTTTTATTTATTTATTTTTTTCCTTGCCAAAAGCGACATATGTGTGGATAAGAGCTACAAACCCAGCTGAAACTTTCTGTTTTAAGAAATATCTGGATTGGTGTGAGCAGAACCTACATTATCTAGGATGTAGGATGTATACATCCTAGGAAACAGCACGTCAAAGTTTCAAAGTCGGAGTTACATTTTGAACATATATGACTCGATATGTCCAGATTCTCACCTTGTGTATGTTCACCACCTTTTGTTCTACTGAAAATGACATATAACCATTTGTAGAATCACATAATTTGAGCTGTTCCAAAGAAATCCCCATTTTTTTGCTAAAACTTTCTAATCTAAGCATCTATGAAACCACACTGAACAATGATCTAACTGTAGGTTTTCAGATGAAATGACACTACCTGGTATTTGCTGCAGGTAAAGCCTACGCTCCAGAGTTCTACTATGATACCTACAGCCCTCTGTGGCAGAACAGACCTAGAGTCTATGGCTTCAAGCTACAATGGACCCAGATGAACCCCAGTGCCGTGGACCGTATTGTTGCCTACAGACTCGGCATCAGACAGGTAGGACCACAAAGAAGTTGCAGTCTCCTTGTTCTTCTTTATTTGGTCTCTTTAAGACCTTTTCAATGTTCTCAGGGAGATTTTGTCACATCCAGAGCAGGAATTTTAAAAGTCTGAAATGGTCACTTCACAAACAAAATGTAGGGATGGGTACATTTGACATTTGATCGATTCGGTACTAATTCCCGGTACCTAGGGATCCATACCGGTACTTAACGGTACCAATTTTAGATGCTTTAGAGTGTTTAATATTTTAATTCTCTTTTGTAATTAAATATATGTTTTTCTCCATATATATAACCATATTTGATAAATATCACGATAAATAACATACAACTGTTTGTATTTTAACATCGTCCTTGTAGTTTTATAAGCTGATAATTAAACTGAAGCAAACATCTTTACTGTGAACTAAATTTACTGTGTATCTTCATTCCTTTTGCCGTCCTTTTTCATTTGATTTTTCCTACTGGGAAGTTAGAATTTCCGAGAAGAAAACAAACGCACCATTAGATGATAACAATGGTGGCATAGGAACCTAACATATCAAGCTAACGTTATCTTAAACAGTTTATTTAGCTGCTGGAGCAGATTAAAACGATGATGCCTCACACTTAGATCGTTGTCGCTGGTTTCATCTTCACCCAATCACCCGTCGCATTTAGTAAAGTGAAGCCAAACTTTGGAGCGCGTTCATGTTCTTCTAGTCGGAAATTCGGAGTTCCGAGGAAAAAGCGAATGCACCATTAGCGGCAGGGAAGCTAACATATCAAGCTAACTTTATCTTAAACATTTTATTTTATTTACCTACCGGAGAAGATTAAGATGAGGATGTCTCACTTAGATTGTTGTCTCTGGTTTCATCATCACTAATAAACAAACTGAGGAGAGGCATGCTGCAATTCCCATCACATTTAGTGAAGTGGACCCAAGCTTTAGCGTGCGTTCTTCCTACCATGCTGCTATGTTTACAACTCGCTCGCAGCGACCGACGACATAACGCTCTTGCGCATGCGCAGCTGTCTAGGCAAGTTCTCGTTATGAAGGACGGGTACCGAAACGAGGCACCGTTTCAAATGACGTGAATTGGTGCTCAGTCAGTACTGTGGAATTCAGTCGGTACCTTAAAAAGTACCGAATTCGGTACCCAACACTAATGGCATGATGTCCACTTTTTAAACAAAGACCCCTTTTCATTCCTATAGCTGCATAGAAACCACTCTGATGGCCAGATTAGGCAGGTAATAGAAGGGTTTGAGTGTGCTTGCCTGCTGTGACCTGTTGACAGCAGGAGCAACATTTTTTCTTCCTTCATTGTGTGTCTCATAACACACTGTAGAGGCTGTAAATGAGCCTTTGTTTGTCTAGCGGCGTTGCAGAGAACCTGACAGGAGCAGTTTGTCAGAAACACGGTTTTCTTCAAGCTGTTTCTGTTTTTGGTTTCCACCAGAGAGCTGGAAGTGGAACCCCATGATGAGAATTAGTGAGCACAACTCTTGAGTCGTGGAGGATGGCTGCTTATACTGAGCCAGGATTCTCTGGAGGTTTCTTCCTGTTAAAGGGAGTTTTCCTCTCCACTGTCGCTGCATGCTTGCTTAGTATGAAGATTGCTGTATAGTCACTGACACTAGTCAGTGACTTGATGCAATTTGCTGGGTTCCTTATATAGGAAACATTATTTCTGATTGGCTTAATGAACTGTGAATTGGAATGTTTATTATGTGAAGTGCCTTGAGACGACTCTTGTCGTGATTTGGCGCTATATAAATAAACTTGAATTGAATTGAATTGAATTGTTTTTTTTTTTCCTGCCTCTTGAGTCCCGTCTTCTCCAAAGATGACAAACCGACCAGCATTGATGGATGGGATGGTCATCTGCCTCTCTCATTCTTTTTTTCTCCTCCCACATGTCAATCTGGACAGCACTTGTTCCTCAGCTATTTTTTTCTTTTCTTTTTTATTTATTTACAGCACCAAGTTTTATGGTTTCTGAACATTGTTGACTTTTCTTCTCAGAATTCTGTCGCTTTAAAGGAGGTGGGAAAAAACAGACAAACAACATTTACTAATAAACAAACTGAGGAGAGGCATGCTGCAATTCTGACTCCAGTACATCCCCGCTTATAATTAGCAAACGCGTCCTCAGTCGTATTTGTAATGAATAGTAAAATTACATGTTTGTTTCACTCTAAACCCTCAAGGAACTGAGGTCTGAAAAAACACGCTCCAAAGCCACTCTGTTTGTACATCACAATGACTTTTCAGTCTATCATCTGTCTCAGTCCGCTTGCTAAATATTAAACTGCACTTGCTGGGCATTTGTCTTTGAACTTACGAGAGTGTCACTGTTTTGTTCTTTGAGCTACTTCTCTGCCTTATTTGGCAACCTTAATATTTGCATCTACAGCCGAGTGAAATGGACTAACACCCCCGAGCATGTTTGTCTGCTCTGTATTTTTGTTTAATAAAAGTAAAACATGACTGCCGCAGTCAATGCTCATCGGACACGTTATTAGGTACACCTTGCTAGTATCCCATTTCAGAACTGCCTTAGTTATTCACGTCGTTCCTCAGAGCTTCTGGTCCATGCTTGCATGGCAGCGTCACACAGTTCTAAGGTAAGAATCTCTTGTTCCACCACATCTCAAAGGTACTGGACTAAGATCTGATGATTATGGAGATTGCTGAAGTCCAGTGAAGTCAAAGTTATGTTCTAGAAACCAGTTGGAGGTTATCTGAGCTTTGTGACATGGTGCATGATCCTGCTGGAAGTAGCCACCAGAAGATGGGTGCATGTGGTCATAAAGGGATACTATTTTTTTCCCCACACTATTCCCTACAAATCATCCAGAATGCTGTGGCTGAATGTCCAAGTGTCCAAGAATGTCCGAGCTCTAGTACAAAGAAAAGCTGAAAATGCTACTTGAGGTGAGTTAGGGACACCACTCGGATGCTAGTGTCCAGCTAATAGCGGGACGAGGTCTGATCTTATGTGATTGTTGAGAGTTGGACATGATGAGCTCCTGACTAACTTTGTGTCTTTCTATTTCATTGTTAGTTATTCAAACTAACCAAGAGCGCACCTAGAGTCCGTAATTCATGCTTTTATCATCTCCCATCTAGATTACGCAAATTCCATTTTAATTGGTTTACCTGCCTCCGCTCTTAAAAGGCTTCAGGTCGTACAGAATGCGGCAGCCATGTCTTTAACAAACACCCCTAGAAAAGTTTGGCTGAAGTAAAGCCATTTTTATCTAGACGTGAACTTGAGACTGTTGTTCATGCTTTTATTACCTCATGAGTCGACTATTGTAATTCCGTTTTATTTGGTGTAAGTAAGGGTACTGTAAACCAGCTGTAGCTTGTCCAGAATGCTGCAGCAAGATTCTTGGACAACAAAAGGAAGCATGAACACGTGACACCAATTTATGGCTGCTCTCCACTGGTTGCCTGTTGATTTCAGAATTAGTTTCAAACTTCTTTTAATGGTGTTTAAGGCGCTGAATGGTGTGGCTCCAACCTATTTGGCGGACTTGCTGCAGCCATATGCTCCGGCCCGGTCACTCCGCTCTGAGAACCAGCTGCTGCTTGTGGCTCCTAAGTTTAGGTTAAAGTTAAGAGGGGACAGGGCGTTCTCTGTTGCGGGTCCGAAACTGTGGAACGCGCTGCCTCTAACCATAAGGGACTCTCCATCAGTAGCAGTTTTTAAAATGAGGCTGAAAACCTACTTTTATGATCTGGTTTTTAATTCTGTGGGTTAGCAATCGTTAATGTTTTATATTTTGTAATTCTCATTTGTGGTTTAAATCATGTCTGTGGCACTATATGTTTTATTGTTTTACTCTTTTGTTGTGCAGCACCTTGGTGGCATGCTCATGACTGTAAGGTGCTTTATAAATAAAGGCTGAGTGAGAGAGTGACTGTACTGGCGCGGCTCCACTGTAAACTTCAGATTCAAGTTTAAAATCCTGATTTTTGTTTTTAAGGCCCTGAATGGTCTGGCTCTGGATTACCTGTCTGATCTTGTGACTCGTTATGTGCCAAACCGGGCGTTGAGGTCTGCTGATTGCCTGCTGCTTCGCGTTCCAACAATGAAATACAAAACGCGGGGGCAGCGTGCTTTTGTCTACGCTGCTCCAACACTCTGGAATGCTCTTCCTCTTTCAGTGAGGCTGGCACCATCAGTCCTCCATTTCAAGTCAATACTTAAGGCTCAATTTTACAACCAGGCATTTTTAAATCCCTGACTTTTTATTATTTTACTGTGTGTCTTTTTATTGACCGTGATTATCTGCTTTGTTGTGTATTTCATTGTTAACCATGTTTTGTTTTTACGTTGTGTTTTTACCTTTTATTCTGTACAGTACTTTGGTCGGCTGCCATGTCGTTTTTAAATGTGCTTTATAAATAAAGTTGGTATGGTATGGTAAGCACAGTAGCGGTGTAGCTGGTTTCTTCTTATTATTTGAATTGGCAGGCTCCATGCATCCAGGGCACACCGCTTCCCTCTGCTGTTTGTTTCAGGTTGCAGTCATAGCGCTAACGCGAAACGCAGAGCTTATATGTCCTTAAATTGCTACCATATTTCAAGATGGCGCATGACGATGGAGCGTCGACGACAATTTAGGTATTAAAATGTAAAATTTCAAGCTGAGAGGCATATTTAGTATTGATGTTAGTGAAAAATATTAGTGTAAAAAGTCGAGTTTGTTAAAGGGACATTATGGAAGTTTGACAGCCAGAACATGTATAGAAATAATAAATGTCTTCTTCATACATTCTCCTGCAATGCCCTGGTCCTGTAGAATAAGCCCTGGCATTTTTACTGTGATTGCCTGTTTTTCTGTAAAAACACAGAAAAGGAGAGATGCTCGGGTCGAGCAGGCTGCTTCATGCGCGTTCACGCTCAGGCATAGCCCGTAGCATTTGCTATCTGTAGCTTTAGCAGCAGAGAGAGAGGCAGTGCCACTTTGTCGCTGTTCCTAACGCCTAGTGACAAA